GAACCTTCTTTCACTTGGGTCTAAAGAACCCTAGTTCCATGTGTTAGGAACCTTGATTTTAATGACTTTGGATTGATATACTGATTGATTTTAATCGATTGATGCATGATTCATTAAGTCAATTGAAGCCTTATCATCTTTTCTTGATTTCTGCTGCAACCTGAGATAGATAGTATCTGATTAGGTTGTTAGAGCTTCATCAATCGGTAGTAGTAGATTGGTTATACGAGAGTTAATCGATTTACTGCTTTGTACTGGAATCCAATTCCAGTAGTGGATTTTTGTGTTTATTACCTCAGTAGCCTATCCCAATGAAGGTTAGTCGCCTGCCGGTTAGTTTGTCTGAGAGGGCTTGGTCAGCTTAAGAGATTCCAAACTACTTTCGGATCTTCCGCAGTTTAATCAACGGTAAATTAACCAAATGAAATTACAACTTTGACCTAACTAAGGAGCTAGGGGGACTCATTCCTGAGTGACTCTTCCATTGCTAAAGAACTTTGAATCATTTCTTGCTTTCTTACAGCTTTTGCTTAAATCACAATCACTCGACTTAGTTTGCTAGGTAATAGACAATCTCAGAGTAGGCAGTAGATCTGGACCCCGGGTTGACAAATAGAGCTTGTCACTTTACTGCATTTCCGGACTGCGATTACACTTGGTCGCAGTTTGGTGTTGTGTTTTAGCGTGTCAGTGTGTTTGATAACATTTAGGAGTGTTTTTACACATTTGATGCATTTTTGTTAGTTTTTGGATATTGTTATGCCAATGCGTTATAGAGGATTGTGACTTACTATCTTTTAGAATTGTGACTGATACTCCCGCGCATGTGATGCATGGGAATGTGCCCCCATATAAACGAGATGCTCCAAATTATATTTTAACCTTAAGTTTTAGTTATTTGGGGGAATCAATTTTATGGGACCACTCACTAGCTTCGTTGACAGCAAACATATCGTGGTCCTTGTAGACTATGTTTCCATGTGTGGGCATAGTGACAAAGTTTCTAAAGAGGCTATTCACTCAATTTGGTGCACCTTATCATTAGTAATTGAGTAACTCATTGTAACACCCTAACCCGGCCGGGTACTACTTTTATTAAAATGCCCTTGATAAATAAAATACTCAAATCTTAAATTGCAGCAGGAAAAATTTTCATAAATAAAATACTAAAAACACACACTTGTAGCTCAGAGCAAAGCCCTAACACGTGGGCAAATTAAACTAAAACTTTAAAATCTCAATCTGATCTCCAGTCTATACTCATAATCATAAATGTAAATAACTAATAATCTCTAATGTTGTTGCTACTGAAACCTTGACTAAGCATCCTCTGTGACGCTTATACTGCCCTCCTCTAGCTGCCTGCCCTCGAATTCGCTGCTCACTAAATGCTCCTCTAGCTCTTCCTCTAGCTCTTCAAACTGGTGAGTGAGATGGGGTCAGTCTACGCCCTTACGTTTAAAATTCTTACTGCTTAGTACTTTACTTAAAACACTTACTTAAATTTGTGGAAGTTGTTTGTACTTCCAATCTTAAAATCTTAACTCTTAAACTTTGAGGGAGTTGAAGTTACTCTCCTCTCTTAAAACTCAAATCTTGACTTAAATACTTGACTGACACGGGGATCCCTCACTAGCTAGTCCGGTTGCCAACTCATACGTATGAGAAGCCATCAAGGCTTTCCCTAAACTTAAACTTATCGTGGAAGGCTCTTCTTCCACGATTCTCAAGAACATAACTGCTGCTCATCTTAAAAATCTCAAGAGCATAACTGCTGCTCAACTTAAATATCTCAAGAGCATATAACTGTTGCTCTGTCTCAAAGATCTTAAGAGCATAACTGCTTCTCTATCTGAAAATCTCAAATGACAACGGACTGGCGCTAGTGACTAAAAACACTTAAAACGACTTCACCTTCTTGAAGGTGAGTTACTTCTTAAAAAGAACTTGTTTCTTAAACTTTAGCAATAACTCATAGCATAACGCTTTAAGGTAAATAGCACAAACTCACCCAAATCACCTCAAATAGTACAAAATCACCTCAATCATAGCTCAAGCAAAGCACAAATAATCAATCATAACCATAATCAAGCAATGGTAACCAATTCACTAAAATACTTAAAATCATAATACTTAAAAGAATACGTAAGGCGTAGAATTTACCCCCCTTTACACTCACCTTACTTGCGTCAGAACTGGCTATGATTTTGTTCCAAAGTTTCCATACTCGCTTCCAAATATTACACCTGTACTTGGTTAGACCAGCTTGCTTCGGTCGTTATTGGCCGCCACTGGTAATAACAACCCCTAGTCGTCCGTCCGTGTGCAGAGATCAAGCCACCTCATGCTTGGTTAAGTGACACCTCCTGCTTGCTTAAGCATGGCCTCCTTCATGCTCAATAATGGTCCTGCTTGCTTGAATAATGGTCCTACTTGCTTGTGTGGGGGTGATTACCGCAGACGGATGAGAAAATCGCCTCCTGCTTGCTTAATCTAGCACCTCTCGTAGTAGAGGGAGTAGATAGCGTCGCTTTAAGTTGCCGAGAGCGAGTCCCGCCTCCTGGCTATTTGATTTCCCCGCGAGCAAGCAGCCTACTACCTGCTTACCCTATTGAGCGTCCCTTGTCCATGGCGCCGCTTTGCTTTGATTTACCGAAGGTGGGTGCATGTTCGTTTTTCCGATAATAACATGGAGACGAGCAGTGTGAGGGAACTATAGGCACTGTGACGATGGCAACAATACGGCCACGAGCTTGCTTAAGCAAACAACTCTCGTAGTAGAGAGAGTAATGGCGCCGCTTTGCTTTAGTATCCCAGGTACGGAGAATTGCTTTCAGTGGAGAAAGAAATATAAAGGCTTCTATATTAGGTTTTAGGGTGATGCCGAGTAGGTTCTAATTAGTCAGAGGGTATTTTTGGAAATTTCCCAATTACGGGTGAGTTTAATCCGAAACTCAATTAACGTCTGTAACTTTCTCTTTTTATGTCCAAATTCGACACCGCTTGAACTGATAGTTCACATTTTAATCCTCATCGATAATACGGTGGAACTTGACCCAAGGGTATAATAGTCATTTTGACTTTTGGGAAGAGCGGGGTGTAACATTTCCTCCACCCTTATAAAAATTTCGACCCCGAAATTTGATCGGGCGCATCCTTCCATACTCCTCATTCTCGTGCTTCTTTAGCTCAAGATTTCATTCTTTTTATATGAACTTCAGTGGCGTGCCCTTACCTTGTCTTGAATAACTTACTATAGTTCTTATATGTACTCTTGACCATAACATATATTCTCATCTAGCTTGGTAGAATCGAATAGGTTTGAGTGACTCCTTGCCCTTTTCAAAATTTTCCAACTTGGGCCCAGGGTGTGATGGGACACAATTTTGGCTCAATTTATTTGGTCCAACTGATTCAGTACTTGATGTTGAACCTAAATCGAAGTCGAGGTATCACATTTCCTCCCCACTTATAGAAATTTCGCCCTCGAAATTTGTCCACTGTGATTACTCCAAGCCTCGCTTGTGGTAATCCTTTCTACTTCGAGGATTTGTATTTCCTTTAACTTGTACGACATAACCTAAAATCCTTCTCTCCATTCCCTGTAACTTCAATGTTGTTTTGGCTTCTTAACCCCTCACATTACCTCGGCTACACCTTGTACATAAATAGGAATGATAACTATCCATTCGGTACATGAGAAGTTAGTGCCCCTCTCCAACCACAAGGTCACTGATGGCGGTTTATCTTCCATCTAGTCAGATGGTAAAACTCTTTTAACGTAACTCTTGTCTGGGGTTGACCTCATAGGTGACCTAGGACGTTGTACCTCCTAACTTTGTATCTCTTACTTTCTTCTTTGATGCTTCGTCTTATCCTTTAAACCATAACTGAGTGGTCATCTCCTCGTTACTTCTTGCTTAACTCTGAAACCTCATATTACAGCTTTTACTTTCTGTATGCATTAGAGGCATCCTTTGCATCTTTCTCTAGCTTGCGATCACCTTTATGATTCCTTTCAAGAATCATGGCATTCTCTCTGGCTTACTTGTTCACTCCTGGCGCCTAACTTAGCACTTACTTATCGCTGCTTGAATTTTATGTTCTCGTACTATCCATTCTGCTACTCTCAGACCCTAGTTGAAATTCATTGTACGGTTTCCCCGTCCAATAAATTTTTATCCAAGAGATCGAAACCTTTCACCCGCATAGGAGATCTTGGCTTCACTTTGGGGTACCCTATCAGATTCCATAAACTCATATCCCCATTACTTCTCTACTCGTGAATCTTCTCCTTGTTTGATAACGTCCGAGTAGTTGGTTAACTAATTGAAAAACTACTATCCATCATGTCGATGAGATACTTGGTCTTGAGATCCTTTGAGATTCTACTTGAGTTGGCCACATTTCTTGCTTCCTTCCTTTCATACTGATGATTGTCATCCGCCTCAATCTCTTATTTAACGTACCACAACATGTTAACTAAATAACGTCCTATCTTATTCTTAAACCAATCGTACCCCCGTGTTACCATCTCGTCTTAGCTTAATAGATCCTTCAAAATTCTTGAGGTATTCCCTTACAATTGGTACCTCTTTCTTTAGAACTATAGTTATTCACCTTAATACGATTAGAGTATACTGGAGATTCTATAAACTCTCAAAAGAAGATCCTTGACTCGTTTTTCCTTTCTTTTAAAACAAAATCCTTTAAAACTAAGACCGATATTCCAGTATTCCTTGGAGACCAAGGAACAGAGGAAGACCGGCTCTGATACCAAAATGTAACACCCTAACCCGGCCGGGTTAGGGTGTTACACTCATTTCTAAGATCTATTCGACATAGTTTAACATGGATTCACGATCATTCATCCTAGATTTATATCTTATCATCCTCAGACGAATGGGCAAGTTGAGCTCACAAGCTCAAACAAATTTCTAGAATACCGTCGATAGAAACCACAAGCATAATGATATTCAGACACCACAAATAAATAAAAAATGAGAGGAGCTCTCTCCTCTCTCCTCGTGAAATGGTTGTCGATCGTTGTCCAACCCTTCTTGAAGCTCTGCCGATCGGCGGATCACGCCCTTCTCAACCTAGTGGTGATTGTGTTCAACGCTACTCTTGTTAATCAGGGTGTCAAAGGAACTCAGTGGCAATGCAATGGTCATGCCATTGGTGAAATATATCTTCACAACGTCTGGCGGCGGCGCCACCAGATGGTCGTCCCCCAAAATTGTGATCCGAGATATGGGATCCGTAAACGGAGCTATGATTGCTTCCTCAATAACGCAAGTGCTCATGAAAGCCCAACCTATAAACATCTGCGGCGCTCCATTAAATCGGTGTGGCGATTTCGCCTACCCTCGCCAGGTGAACTAGAAAGTGATATCCCCAGTCCTATCTCCATGCGAACTGTTATGCAGCCACTGGATGAGACAGCTTGGGGGTGGTTTGCAAATTGAGTAACACATTGATACAGGAGCTTAGATCCCACAATTGGGCGAGCTCTCTAAAAATGCCCACTGGGAATGTGTTACCGGCGAAACCTGCATGGTCGACGTTATTCTTCCGCCCGCGTCCGATGTCCCAAAGTGACCCGGAGCGTGTAACCCCCCTTGTACAAAATCGTTGGGGGATTAACTGCTCCCCGGATTTCCGAAAGGGGATTAACGGATGGAGATCCCAATATGATCTCCCTCTCTGTCGAATCAATAAGCGAAGGGATAATTTAAAAAAGAAATATTTTTTTAATATTCCTTCCTCTTACCCACTCCAAGTAGGAAAGCTGCGGCCGAGTGGTAGCTACGGCTCTGCCTCAGCTTTAAATTGCCTCCTTACCTCATCTACCCTTTCACACAACCATTGCGAGAATTGGTTGGATGATTCAAGAAGGGTACATAGCCGAAGTCAGCAGCTCTACTCGGGTAAGTGGGCCTCTTCTCTCGTTGAAGCATCGTTTCTTCTTTGGTTAGAGAATACTCCTCTGCAAGTGATTTTTTCAATGAGTACTAGTTTTCCCTGGTCAGTTAGTGTGTTCTCTCGTGCTGATGTGATAGTAAGTGAACCTGATGCGTTGTAAATTTTGCAGCCGAATACCATGTCACGTATTGAAAACGACCAAGTGGTTTCCTTCTCCCTTGCGGAGATACAATCAGACAAGGTGCGCAAATCCAGGATGCTCCTTGGCAAGATGTTCTCTGACAATCGCATGTCTTTGGTGGAGCTTAGGGATTCAGTTAATAACCCTTGGCAAGGCTAGGGCCGAATCCAGGTCAGGATGGCTACTCATGGACTTTATGAATTCGTGCTCCCGACAGAGGTGGCTAGAACATGGATTCTTCAACGTATGCCTTGGGTGATTTCCGACAAGATCCTCCATCTTCGGACTTTGACCCTGATTGTTATGGCTCGGACTTTTGACGAGCTTGCTCTTGCTCCGTTCCGAGTCCAAATGTGGGATACCAACAATTTGGAAGGAAAGTGGTGAATGCCACTCTAGGTCGTGTCTTGGAATCAGGGGTGTTCTCTTGCTCGGACTCAGGTCGCTATTTTGTCAAGGTGAAAGCGCTTATTACCTTCTCAAAGCCTCTGCGGTCTAAGGTTATGGCTACTAATGACGAGACTGGTGATTTTTGGATTTGGTTCAAATATGAACATCTTCCTAGCTTCTGTTTGCACTGCGGTCGAGTCGGACATTCCCGTCAGGCCTGTTCATTTTATCCTCCATCTAGGAGAGAACGATTTGGCCCTCACATGTCGACCGAAAAAATGGGCAGAAAGGTATTTGATGGAGAAGATGGGAGACAACATTTCCCTTGGCACTCGGAGTCGGTTTAGATTAATGAGGAAGCCCATGGTCGCAAGGGAGCTGATGGCAGGCTGGAACATGGATCGCAAGTCCAAGGAAGGGGTGTGGATGATGTCAGGCTGCAACATGGACTGAACGTCCACGAAAGGGGTGTGATTGGTCGAGGGAAACAGGGATCACGGGACATGGAAAGGCAAGAGTCTGATACGACTAAGCAACCGGTGGTTGAAGAGAGTCCGCTGTGGATGGGCTCCTCCGCGAACCCTTTCCTGTTGATAGAACCGAGACCTCATCCTGGGAAGAGCCCGTTTCGGATTCTGATTGTGAAGGCTCCCAAGCTCGCTTTTGGGAAACAGAACAAGCGAGGGAAGCCTAAGAAAGGTGATGGTGGTAAATCCTTGACGCTAGATCGTCAACTCAAGCCTCAATGGGAGTCTCACGGGCGGCGTCCTATTAAGAAAAAGCATCAAAAAGCGGATGAATTTGCTTAGAAAGAACAGGTCATTAGTGGCTCTTCCAAAATGCACACCGAAAAGGGTGTTGATCCTATGCATCGCCAGCGACACATCTTGGAGGAAGAATCTGAGGAGCGATTCGTCTTGCAAGAAATCCCTTCTCCTTTGCATCCGCTTCAGCCCAAGGGTGAGATCCTGTCGTCCAAATTTGATGATTTGGGTCGGCCTTCTTTGGAAGCTGCTACTCCGCGAAAACGAGCGGCTCGCAACAAAGAAAATGGCAAGAAAGGGGAGCATTCCCCTGGCATGAAGCAACGGGTGGCAAGGGTCTTACCACCAAGCAAGTTGGAGGGTGAGCTCAGGGGAATGGCAGGAAGGTAAAGGGCGGCATATGGGAATGACTTCCGCGGCCGATGAAGAGAATGTCATTACTGGGGACTGGAGTGAAGAGGTTCCAGTCGAAGTAGTTCCAAGGGATCCCCCTGCGGTGGAGAAAATTCCTGGTCTGATCGACGCAGAGGCGGAAGACTCAGATGAAGATACTCTCCTATTTGAGTTACGCCGTCGTGGTCCTAAGGAGTTCAAGAAGCCTCATCGTCTGGCTCACTCAACCCGCGTGCATCAAGTGGTGCAGGCCTTTGAGAATGGTCTAACCATGATAGATCTGGGGCGACAGTCTGACATTGGCCAGCTGAAACCAAACGGGGCTCCTATTGGTCAGGTGCTTGAGAAGAATCGGGTTGAAGTCATCACTTTTGATGAGTATGGCTCGAACTTGAGTGATCCTGATGTGGGAAATAAAAAAAGACAGCTGGCGGAGATTGATGGGGAAATTTCAAAATCTCCTACCCCTAAAAAACAGTTTATTGAAGATTGAATTGAAATGGAACCGGTGGAGGAAGCCAGCCGTGAATGGCCCTAGCCAGATAAATAAGGCTTCTTACCTGGAATGTGAGAGGAATTGGACCATCCCTCACATTCCAAACTGTTGTTGGTTTAGTTTATTCCAATAAACCGGATCTCGTGTTTTTTTTCTGAAACTCGATCGAGCCGGCATGTAGTCACCTATCGTATGAGGGGATTAGGTTTTGATGTTTCTAGTTGTTTTTTGTTGATGCGATTGATGCATCTGGTGGTTTAGTTGCTGCTTGGTCCCCCGAAGTTGACGCTTCGGCGTTCTATCATTCCAACTTCTGTGTTTGTGTTCAAATTAATGAAGTGGACTTTGCTTATATTGTGGTTTTTGTTTACATTAGTTGCAATGTTACAATAAGAGCCTCCCAATTGGCTCAGCTTCATGTTATTTGTGACACTTTCCATCTTCCCTATGTCGTCATTGGGGATATTAACGCTACTCTTCATGAGAGTGTGAAAGATGGGGCCTCATGTGGAATGCTGCTCAATTTTGTAGCCTGCGCGATTTTGTCCAGGATCTCGGCCTTCATGATCCCGAGTATCAGGGTGATCCGTTTACCTGGACGAATAAACGTATGGGTTCGGCTTGCATTCGTGAAAGAATTGACAGAGCCTTATGTTCTCAAGCTTGAATTGACCGGTTCGCGGATACTCTAGTGAAAAATTTCACGGATCAGGGATCGGATCATCGTGTCCTGCTTCTGTCAGACAAACCATATGCACGACATAGTCGTCCCCTTTTTCGTTTCGATGATAGATGGGCTGACAACCCAGAAGTTAAGGCTATGGTGCAATATATTTGGCAGGAGGAGGTCCAGGGGACTCCTATGTTGAGACTTTGGGAACAACTTAAGAAACTTCGTCACTTGTTGTATGATTGGAGCCGAGCAGGAACCACAAATTCCTTACGTAATATCAAACCCTCCAGGCCAAAATTGATCGAATCAAATCTCAGTATCCGAATTGACTGGGACGAGGTCCATCGTCTGGAATATGAGTTGAATAGGCAGTGGGAGGCGGAGGAAATTTACTGACAGCAAAAATATGGAGTTAGATGGTTGAAAAAGGGTGATCAAAATTCTGCCTACTTTCATACGGTTACCAGGACTCGTAAAAAAAGAAACTTAGTGGCTGGCTTGCGAAATGACGAGGGGGAACGGATTATGGAAGAGCGTGGGAAGGCCGCCATTGTCGATACTTTCTATCAAAACCTATTTACCTCGGAAAACCAGGTGCTTAATATGGCGGATCGGGTGGCCGGCCTTCCTATTCCTCAGAAAGTGACGCCTGTGATGAATGCCTGTCTCACAGCTGAAGTCCTTCTAGAGGAAGTGCGTAAACAGTTTTCTCCATGGGGTCTAAGCAGGCACCGGGTTCGGATGGCTTCACTGGGAAATTCTTTAAAGCCTTTTGGGATATTGTGGGTAGCTCTGTGACTCAGGCCGTATGCTCTTTCTTTTCAACAAGTAAGATGCTTAGGAGCTTTAATCACACGTGGCCGACCTTGATCCCCAAAGTTGATAGTGTGGAAAATATGACCTAGTTATGCCCCCATCATCTTGTGTTAGTTTGTTTATAAAATTATAACTAAGATCATGGCTAAACGGCTTGCCTGCTTTCTGCCACAAGTCATTTCCGAAGGTCATAATGCATTTATTCGGGAACGGCAGATTATTGAGAATATCCTCCTCGGGCATGAGTTGATGCACTACTTGAAAATCAAAACGCGGGGTAAAAAAGGGTACATGGCTCTAAAGGTTGACATGGAAAAGGCCTATGATAGAGTCGAATGGTCTTTTCTTCTTGCAGTTTTGACCAAAATGGGCTTTAACTCCACCTGGTGTGGATGGATACATGAATATCTCCGATCCTCGTCTTTTTCGATATTAATGAATGGTACTCCTTCGGGGTATTTCACTCCCTCCAGGGGGCTTCAACAGGGCGACCCTCTATCTCCCCTCTTGTTTGTGATTTGTACTGAAGGGTTTGCGGCAATCCTTCGGAATGCTTTATCGAAAAACAAGCTTGGTGGAGTGAAAGTGGCCCTTCATGCCCCGCGGATCTCACATTTGTTCTTCGCAGATGATTCTTATCTTTTCCTGCGAGGTTCTCTCCTGGAGTGTGAAATCTGATCGAGGTCCTGAATGAATATGAGGAACTTAGTGGTCAGAGGGTGAATTTGGCGAAATCGGCTGTTTGCTTTAGCAAGAATATTGCTCTGCCGGACCAGGAGTTCTTGGCGGCGATTCTGGGGGTCGAGGCGATGGGGATCCATGATAAGTAC